TCAAGGTGATATTCTTGTAGAGCTCGTCGAGCTCTATCGAATGATGTGTGTTTAAAGCAAATCTATCAACTGTTTGAAGTTTGAATTAGGCGCACCTTAGTTTTTTATATAAACAGAAATAAAACACAGAAGTCACTGTTTGTTTCATTACTATACGAGAACACAGTCCAGCTGGGTAAGCTATTCAGTTCATAAACTGAAAGTCTAGAGATCAATACTCTATGTGTTTACATTTCTTCTGTTCTGTTTAGCAAATCTTGCAACGATCCTGACCAAGTCTTGTCACGATACTGGTAAGTTCTGCTCTTGTAAGTATATGTTAACTCAATCTTATTCAGCTAATCTCAGCAGATTCGTGGCGCATTCCTTCGGGAAACGTAGATGGAAGTCGAGTGGAATTCGACAGTATCCTCGAAGGATCCTGAAAAACTTTTTTCACAAGATATCTAATAATTCTGAAAAAATCCTGCAAAAAACTTGGCAATAACTTGACAGGATCTCTGAAAAATATTATTTTGAATCCTGTCAAGATCTTGAACTTCCGTGGCTACACGCTTCTTCCAGGATTTAGTCGTTTCCTGACTGAATCCTGATTCAAAAACAAGGATAAATCTGTTAGGATCCTTGAAAATCTTGTTTTCAATCCTGCTAGAATCTTGAAATACTGTGGGTACACGCTTTTTTCAGGGGTTAGTCGTTTCCTCAGGAGAAAAGAGCGAATCCCTGCAGGATCATTATCGAATCTATCAAGGATCTGGTATGGAAACACCAAAGATTTTCTCTGGGGTAGTATCCTTCGGAATAACTATGTTCTCAGTACTAAACAATATATTCATTACCAATACAGCAGAGTAAAATTCAAATGTTAACTCGCACAAATTCACCATCTTATATTATGTTCCTGCAACATTTTTATTGTTTTGTTAAAAGCTTTATATTTTCAATTTTTGCTAATTTGAACTTATAGAATAATAAAGTTTTTACTAAGACATAACACTTTCGTTGTGTATTGCTCAATGAATGGGATAATAGTTTTTCACTAGATGAAAATGAAAATCTCCATTCTATATCTCTATAACAAGTACTTAATAGATGAAATTCTGGAACTAAAGAGCATCCATCTGATACAATACGCTGAATTAATTCATCTGATGGCCAGTTCGATTGTCTTTGCCGTGTGGACCATTCATTTGCAATAATTGGCCAATATGGGTAACGTACAGCTTCCACGTAATCTGTTAATACATCTAATATACTTCCTTCTTCATCAGTTTGTTGAATGTAATTAACAGCCATTGCTGGCCTATGTGGATTAACAATTGTTTTTGTACGCTCATTCGCCCATACTTTGAGTGTCACATTAAAATTTGCTGTATCAGAATCCAACAAGCGACCAGTAACGTACGGTGACGTTACTGGTTCATTATCAATTGTTTCTTATACTTCTAATATCCAGTCTTCATCTTTGTGTGACAATGAACGTAATCTTGTAAATCCAGGACGAGAGAAACGAGAGTCTATGCACGTGACTACGATGTTCTTGTTTTTATTTTAAAATGATTGCTGATCATTAACAACTTGAATGTTTTTCCATATTTTCATAACATCTACATCAGGTATAATACCATTCATTGTGTTCATTTCACATATATGTGGTACATCAAGTCCTTCAACGATACTTCCAGTACATAATAAATCTCAATATCTCAGCAACAATACAACTTATTAAAACTTTTGTTATTATTAAAACTTTTGTCTACTACAGCGCCCCAGTTTGAAAAAGTTTTGACAACATTGATTGAACGTTAGTCGTGGCTGACGTGCAATAGCTCTTAAGTACATATCATGTGATAACGTGTGTAAAAAAGCAAAGAGAAAAGAAGAGGAAGAAAAGCACTATTTTGGCAGTCCTGTTGTATCACTCTTCTTCTACCTCTACGTGTATTGTGAGAAAAATCATTGATTCACTTTCTACTGTTTTGTATTTTACTTCAATTTCTTCGCGAAGCATACAAAGACCGTTTTAACAACATCCCGACATTCTCATAAAATAAGAATGTTATTATGTTCGTGTTTCATTCAACATTCTATTT